ACGAAGCGGAGTCCAGCCCGGGGTCATCACATGTGGTTGCCGCAAGCCCGCCGGCCTCCGCTCATTCAAGGCCGCCGTCTGTGATGCTGCGCGTTTCGTTGTGAAAGCAAATGAAAAAGATACTTTCATTCGTCAAACTGCAAGTGGAAGATCAAGTCAAATGCATCTGACCTTCCCATTGCAGTGTTTCCCACAAATTGTAATGTTATGCTATCTGGACATGGTTACAGGTTTTATCTCACATTTTAAAGTTTTTAATTGGTAAACAGCCCTTGTGTGTAGAGCTGCTATGTCACCGATTAAGTTTCTTGTTTTTAATTCTAAAGAACGTGTTAAAGTTATATGGGTCAACAACATACCTGGAACAACAGCAGTGGTGAAAACGAATCCACGCCATTGATCATCCGATCTGAACCAAGGACTGAACCTAGTGTTTGGCACACAGGTTGTAATACAAGTTTCTTAATAGTTCGGTTTAAAATTAATTTTCTCACTTGTAAGAACTTTTCTCTTTAAGTCCTTATAGTCTGCAACGTCTATTTACATACAAAATGGTAAACAATTGTAAATAGAATCCTGTTATGAAAATGTCTCTCCCAGTCTCAGTCTGTCCCGGTCTCTCTCTCTCTCTCTTAATCCTGTCGTATTTAATTTGAGGTGAAGTAGATTTAAACCACACGTTAGAGAAAATCTCGGATTTAACAGTCACTCTGAATTGCGTCAGAGGCACAGCAACCAGTAGTATCACAGTGCAAGCATATAAATTCTCAGTTTGTTCAGTCAAAGAGACAAACTAGATCAGTTAGGAGGTACCGACACCTATTCTATGTGCGAACGCACAGATCAACAGGTGGGAAAATCCCCCCGCTGCGAACAGCGGAACCAAACAAACAAACAAAAACAATAATCCTCCTTTAGTTTTATGAATAATAGCACAAAAACAAACTACTTACCAATCCGTATGCTTTCAAAAGCACCAGAATACAATCTGTAAACAAATATCAACTCGTAATTCAGAATAATATAAACAACCACTTACCTAAATATATAGGGAAAAAAGGAAAAATTACCGCAATCCTCAGGGGCACCAGGCGCCTCCTGCACTATAGTGACGGATTGAATGGGTAATTTTCCAATATCAGCATATACGCGCGGATTCTCCGAACCGGTCTCAGAAGAGGCAGAAGGCAAAGAGGAAGTGCTTTGTTCACCCGGATGTTTTATAGTGAACCAACCACTCAGGGTCAGTCACCTGACTTTGTTTACATTAGGTCTCGGAAGGGTAGCAGAATGGCGTCATTCAAGGTAAGACCGTGGTGACGGTCTGAGTGAGGTCGAAATAGATCTGCATGACCAAGACTGAGGGGAAAATCTGGTAAATCTAGTATCTTATCAGATCAGGGTGGAAAGTAATTTGCGTTTTTGAGCTGTAGAGTTTGTTTTGAGTTGTCAGGTAGGCTACAAAACGCTCACAACACCTTTCTGTATTAAGTCATTGTAATTGTTACGACTTTACGTGCTGTTGTTTTTACAGGGTCTCGTGTTTAAACAGTAGGTAATGTTCGCAATTTGAAGATGAGATTAGGCTCGGTAAACCCCTGTAAACCGCTTGATACCGCATCAAGCCCGGCGGCTCAAACCGATATCCGCTGATGTATAATGAGGCGTCACGACTAATGATTGGCGCATTTTCACTTTGACCGAGTGTAAATAAATGCTCGACTGATGTCTGCTAGTATGCGTTTAATGACAGTCCCTGGCAAACAAGCACTGTATATAAATCATCTATACTTTGGGACGCAGCTCGTGAGTTTCTGTCGGTTGTAGGTGTAGAAAGAATTGGGATCCACAAAAAAATAAAGAAATAAAATTAAAATAAAAACACTCGTGAAAGACGAGTCATCTGTATTTTTTCAATATTTAGGAGTACACTAGCGAATACATGTTTAAAAATGATTTTACGAAAATATAGGCCTAGGCTATGTTTTAGAGCCGCCAAAGTTTGTATTATCTTAAAGGGATAGTTCCCCAAAATTAAAATTGTCATCGTGTACTCGCCCTCCTGTTGTTCCAAACCCTAATGAGTTTCTTCTGTTGAACAAACACATACAAAGATATTTTGAAGAACGTGGGTAACCAAACAGTTTATTTGGTAGCCATTGACTTCCATAGCATTTAAACTATGTAAGCCAATGGCTACCAGCAACTGTTTGGTTATCCAAAACATCTTATATTGTGTTAAGCAGAAGAAAGAAACTTTATTATTGTTGTATTTATTGTATTTTAGATCAAATAAATACAGTGAGCATAAGATACGTCTTTCAAAAGACATCAGAAAAATCCAAAAAGTTCAACCCCACCCCATCCATCCATCCCATCCCATATTAGCATCTTCCTTCAATTATCAGTTTACTTCTCGTCTTTACCCATGAACATGCTCACCTCTTTTTCCCCTCTGCCAGATGATGACTGAGATAGCAAAGGCACAGACTGATTCGGTGGTGTCCAGTGTGGAGTCCATGTTGGCGGATGCTGCCCGAATACAAATACAGTGCAAGGAGCGCAGCGCGGAGCTGGCTGCAGCCTCAGTGGAGCTGCACGAGGAGACCCAGAGCCTGAGGGAGCACTGTGAGTCCACACAGCTGGACATGGCCCGCCTCCGACGGATGCTAGACGAGCTACTGGATACAAAGCATGCCTACGAGGCCCGTGAGAGACAGACCCGAAAACTTAGCAAGCAGCTTTAAATAAAGAGTACCATTTTAATGGACATACAGATTAGAATCGTCAGAAAGTGAATGCATGAGAGAGAGAGTAGGCTACAATGTAAAAAGTTATTTATATAATTTCAAAGTATATAAATAAAGTTTCATTATGAGCAAACATGCAGTCCTCTAATGATTCTACAAGCTTTCCTTAGTGAATTTTTGCTTCTCAGGACATTTATTGATGGACTGGAGTTGTGTGGATTATTTGGAGGTTTTATCTTTTTTGACTTTTATTCTGATGGCACCCATTCACTGCAGGAGAACTACTGGTGAGCAAGTAATGTAATGCAAAATTGCTCCATATCTGTTCAGATGTGGAAACAAACTCATGTACATCTTGCCTGAAATTGTATGGAAAAGGGTGCCATTGTTTCTCTGGGCTTGTTTTTTTTTTTTTAATTATTATTCATATACTTATTTCATATAGCAGCCGAATTAAATCCCTGAGCATAAAATCCCATACACTTTAAATTAAAAATATAAAAGAATTCATCATGCACCTTTAATACATAGACATATTGTGAGACCATAAGCACTTGGTTGATTTAATTGCTTTGATATGTTCACATAGCCATAAACTCTGACATAGTGGGTTATACAACAAATTTAGTATTCATAAAAAAAACAGTGCATAATCCATAACCAGCAGATCTAAAACAATAGTAGTAAGTTAAATGAAAATGTACAAAAAGTTGCACGAAAAGAGGAGGAGAAATGTTTTGATGATGATGAAGTGGACACTGGACAAGGACACTGTGTTTCTGAGGACTTTAGTGCTGTGGGCTGCACCTCAGATTTGGCACTTCGCCTATGGAAAGCAGATACCATCACAGGCCAAATTATGGATTTATGTCCCTGTCATCCCAAACACACACACTCCTACCTCCCATGGCTGTGTGCAGGAAAAAGCCATTAAAAAATGACACATCTACTGGGCACAAGATTAATAGCCAAACACTCTCGGAAAGACACTCTCAAGCAGTTTTGCCCATGTTAAGGACGCCAAGGACTATGAGTAGGAGAAATGTGAAATTAGGGGGGAAAACACTTATGGGACATTCCTGGCCCACAAAATAGGCATAGGAGCACTGTCCAATGGGATTTACAGAGTAATTCATATAAACAGACTGCAGAGGGCGAAAATGTACATTGATATAGAGCAGGTTTTACTTAAGAAAGGTTAAAAGTTACACTACAGTGGTTAACTTGGTTTGACTCCAGGTCAATAAGGTTCAATTTAATGGTTGTTGTTATTATACAAAAGTCTTTAAATTGACTTATGTACTCATGAAGTGTTTTAGCTAGAGAGTCATTGTGTAGAAATATAAAGCCTTTTTTTTTTTTTTTTAGATTTGAGTATCAGCTCAAGTTTATTTTTTGATATTATTTTACCGCTTATAAAAACACTGACAATGCTGTCAGATTTGATCTCTTTACATAAAGCGGTGTCTCAATCAGTTCAGGTCACACCACCAATCTGGCAACCGCACACCATCACCTGCCAGGTCTGTGCTGCCAGCCACAGATCAGTAACCATGGCAACTAACCCTTGGCAATGCTAGTGAACAAAATCAAGACCGTATACTGGCGCTGCCAAAATCCTCTCGGCTCAGCTAGCCAACTGCTAGCCAGCAGTGCGATTGTCAATGTGAGTGTATGCATGTATGTGTGAGTGAGTGCGTTCAGGCGGCACATAGACTGCTTTAGTGTGGAGCGACATAGATTAGCTGTGTCTCTGTTCACTAAGACTGTCCTGGGTGGTTGAAGAAGGGCTCAGTTTCAGAAGGGGTCGCTGATGGGTCCTCTCCTACTGTCCGGATTTCTGACCCTTTGTTACGCTGGAGCAGGACCAGAACTGCTATGATCAACCAAAAGAAGAAATTCACCCATACTGCTGTCTGAGAGAGAGAAAAACAAAAGTTTCTTAAAGATGATGTCCAAAATAAATAAATAAACAAATAATAAAAAGTGATATTTGTAGGGCATTGTAACTGGAGACATGGCTATTTATTTTTATTTTTTTACAAATAAATAACCAATAATAAAAATCATTTCATGATAAGGTATTTTATCTAGCTTTTCTCTATATTTTATCCTACTGATCTTTTATTTTATAAGATATTTTGTTTTTTAAAATGTCATCTCTCAAATTTTACTTTTTTATTTTTTTAAAGAATGATTTCTGAAGTATGTAACACTACGGACTACAGTATTGGCTGCTAAAAAAAAACAAACTTTGATTTGCCATCATAGGAATAAATTACATTTTTAAGTATATTAAAATAGAAGAATAAACTAGAAGTATATTAAATTGTAACAATGCGTCACAATATAACTGTTTTTACTGTATTTCTAAATCAAATAAATGCAGCTTTTTGACCAGTAGTGTGTAATATATAATATTTTTAGCTATTGCCAAAGCAACAATTTTCATTTTTAATCAGTTAAATTTAATATACTAAGACAACTAAAACTGAAATAAAAATTAATAAAAAACTAGATATATTAAAAAGACATTTTACCAAAAAAAAAAAAAAACTAATAAAAATGACAAAACACAGAAAAAAATTCCTAACTTAAAAATAAACAGACAATACAAAAATAAAAACTAAGTAATTCAAAATACATATGAAAAGCGATTACAGTATCTATTGTGTTTGTGGTCAAAAGAGTTTGTAGCTACAGTACCTCTGCACTGTGAAGTCTGGAGTAGAACTGGCTCCCATTTATAGGGCTCATCCAAGGCTTATTTTGCCCTTCTTCACACCTGCAAATGCACAAAACAGTGTAGATACACTCATGAGTCCCACAAGTCATTTATAGTTATCATCATGTTCAATACTGTCTGCCTGCAATAATCAAAAGCTATTACAGAGGTCTCTCTTTCTCACACTTACCTGGTTATATTTTTCACTGTATGAAGCACTGAGTCACACAGTCTGTCTCGGCCGATTTTCAGGATGCATCCCGTCACCAAGAGGAAGAAGAGGAAGACTCCAGACAAGCCAAGAGTAATATTCATCCATAATTTCTCTCTGATATCAGACAACATTGCACAATGTTTGCATTACATTTTTGGAAAAAAAAATAGTGTTGCTATTATTACATTTTTTTTTATCTTAATGTTTTTAACTATTTTTATGAGTATTCCTAGTAACTTACAGATTAACAGTTTTAGTGCAACTCTGACAGTACAAGGACTGACTAATTTGAAATTAGTTTTTTTTTTACATTTAATAATGGTGCATTGAGGAGATGCTGATCATTTTGTTTATACCATGATGTATTAACAGCTTGTTATTAATATATATACACTACCATTTAACTGTAGTTAATGTTTTTGTGGTTAATATTTTTGCTCACCAATGCTGCATTTATTTGATTAACCTACAGTAAAAATAGAAATACTCTGTAATATTATTACATTATTACAATCTGTAATATTATTACAAAAAAGTTTTCTCGATTATATTTTGATTTCCTTCAGAAATCATTCTAATATGCTGATTTGGTGTTTAAAAAACATTTCTTATTAATATCAAATCTGAAAACATTTGTGCTGCTTAATATTTAACCATAACCATGATAATTTTTTAAAGGATTCTTTGATGACTAGAAAGTTCAGAAGTGAAATGATGTAATAGATTTCATTTCAAATCTTTTGTAACATTATTGAAGTCGTTCCCATCACTTTTGATCAATTTAATGCATCCTTACTTGAATAGAAGTGTAAACTTCTTTAAAAAAAAAAAACTCACTGACCCCAATGTCACATATCTAAATACTAACAACTTATTTTTATGAGTTCCACCTGCAATCCATTCATACTAGAGCACGGCATAACAGGAAACAGAAACGGAGGTACCTTCAGATAACCCCTGTTCTCATTCTTGAACCAAACTCACGAGCACGTGATTTACTGTATTCCTGGACATACCTTTTCACCTCTCCGTCAAAACAGGCGATGTAGATCCAGTAGAGAGTGAGTGAAAAGCAGAAGATGGCCACACACACAGAGATGGCTGACACAAAGTAACAAAGGGAGGGAGAACTGGATGAAAGCACAGCAATGGATGAGGAGTTCAGACGTACTGAACCATACAGCATGCACTTCCCATCAAAACTTCCCTGTTTAAGTGAAAAAAGAAAGAGAAAATTCTGGGTTACAAAAATGCATCTTGTTATGAGCAAAGTAAACACTTTTCATGAATAAGATATAACATAGAGCTAAAGGTCAAAAAAAAAAAATTTAAATGAGCGGTTTATTTATTTTTTATTCATTTTCTATGGGGTAATACATTTAAATTAAGTTACTCAATTTTTTACAACAATGGACTGAATATAAATCTAATCAATTGTCAAAATTATTATTTTTTTTTTTTGGATGCAGTTGGTTAATTGTTGGTTCAATGCCTCAAAATCAAAAAGAAGTGGAATATAGACATTTGATGCATTTCAAAGATACTTCAGATGTTTAATGTTATGTTAGATAATAGTTTATCAAACATATCTATTATCTAAAAAAAAATAGGATTTGTGCCTCTAAGCCTTTTTTTTTTTAACGTACACCAAAGTATACATTTTCAGTGAAATGTGCCTGTGCTATATAAAGACCATCATTCTTGGTGGACAATATCTTTACTGTTTTTACCACATCCTTCAATCTTCTCCTTATGCTAGCAGGATGAAACCTGACTGAGGCTCCTTCAAACATTTTTTTTACACTCTTTTTCTTCTCATCTGACTTTAATAAGCCAATTACTCTATGGAGCAGATTCTCAGATGGTCACGTGACAGAAAGAAGTGGAGAGAGTGACCGAAGTGGAATATTTATCAGTTACTTCTCCTATCACACTTTCAGTTTCTCTTCCGGGTTTTACTTTTAAAACGTATTAGTTATTCTACAGCTTGGATAAATACACTTGACCTTTTTTAAAAACATTTCTGGTCTTATTTTCTTCAGTCACATGACTATGACGATTTTAAGGGCAACTCGTGAGAGTACAAGCACAAAATACCTCCAGAGGGAAAGTTATGATTTTACATGTCGATATTGCTAGAGAAAACACCAAAACACATTCCATGCAAAGAACTGTGCTAAACAAAGCTGTAAACTGTAAACAATCGTTCAGCTAAAATGATCAAAGTTTGAAACTTGCATTTTGCATTTTGTTTCCGGGCGCAAAGCACCGTGTATCACCAAGGTAAAGTCTGTTATCGTATTCTGTATGAAATAACAAACAGCAGATACCTGTGAGATTGTAACAGAGGCGGCTGTGACGATCCCGCAGATAAAACAGCTACCATACAGCAGCAGCTCCAGCAGCAGAGGCCACGGAAGCGCCATAGCGTGTCTTTACCCAGCCGCCCAAAACGTATTATGGGTTAACGACGATCATGTGATCGCACAAAAGCTTCAACTGAACCACATTCCCTTGCATTTTTAAGTATAGCATCAAAATAGGTCACATTTATGATAATGACCATACCACCTTATTTTAGTAAATACATAAATGTTTTGTTTTAAATGTTTTACCTACTTCTAACTAGATTTTAGTGTATAACTAGATAAATTGATTATATCAAGACCTTATTACTTGTAACTGAACTATTTTAGTTTCTGTTAAGATCAGTCCACACTAAAAAAAGCCCTTACTTTTCCAATAATTTGGCAAAACAAATCTAGAACTGACCATCTGTACTGACTGCAGTAGCTCATTCCACTGTAGACTGGTGGTAGCTGTCAGGTTGTCTGGGCTATTAGCTTCAAGGGTTAGTTCACCCAAAAATGAAAATTCTGTCATTAATTACTCACCCTCGTGTTGTTCCAAACCCGTAAGACCTTCGTTCATCTTCGGAACACAATTTAAGATATTTTTGTTGAAATCTGAGGGCTCTCTGACCCTCCCATAGACAGCAAGGTAACTACCACGTTCAAGGTCCAGAAAAGTACCAAGATGATCGACAAAGTAGTCCGTGTGACATCAGTGGTTCAACTGTAAAGTTACGAAGCTACGAGAATACTTTTTTGCTTAAAGAAAACAAAAATAACTTTATTCCACATTTTCGTCTCTACAGCGCCATAAAAGTCGTCATGACGCGAGCGTGTGGCGATCCGGCGTAATGACGTCATCACACCGGATCTGGGTCAGCCACACGCCACACGCTCACGTCATGACGACTTTTATGGCGCTGTAGAGACGAAAATGTGGAATAAAGTCGTTATTTTTGTTTTCTTTTCGATTTCCGATCATCTTGGTACTTTACTGGACCTTGAACGTGGTAGTTACCTTGCTGTCTATGGGAGGGTCAGAGAGCCCTCAGATGTCAACAAAAATATCTTAAATTGTGTTCCGAAGATGAACGAAGGTCTTACGGGTTTGGAACAACAGGAGGGTGAGTAATTAATGACAGAATTTTCATTTTTACGTGAACTAACCCTTTCAGGGTAACTGTCACAATTTCATAATTTGAGAGCCAGGGTCTCCTTACTCTTCCACAGTAGAGCATATGACATTTTCATGTTTAGGGTACTCAGCCAGTATGTCATGTAAGACTGCATACACATTTGACAATAATAATTTATACTATAGCACTAAATCATAGCGTTGACTGACAGCAAGGAGGGTTTGACTTCTTTTATTACAGGATACCACAGGTTCACAGAAACTCAGCAACAGTAACAAGTAATATATAAAAAAAATCAAAAGCCAAACAGGCCTGCATTTTCAGATAAATTAATAAGCATTAATGTAACGGCGAATAAAATGATAATTTTTTTTTTTTACATATAATCAAAACATTTTTCAGTGCTAACTGGAACAATGCTGGACTAAAGTAGAATTATCAGTCAGATAATGTTTAAACAAGTAATACATTTGAGCATCATGATGATAATAATAAACCACTTATTCAGTATTTTCTTCTTGGTTCTTTGTCACTAATTGTTAACTGCTCTGTGCACACTCATGATATCAATCCGTGCACGATGTTTTTATGTGGCTGTGCATGTGTGTGTGTGTGTGATAAACTCTATTTAACCCATCCGGTAAGTGTCTGTGGGGCAGCCGGGCAGACGGAAGCTGTCAGGCACCGGGCTGTCTAATTTACAGATGATCTTGTAGATGGCCTTCTTCCAACACGGATCAGCATCCCGACCACTCTGTATGGCAGAGAAAAACTCCCTCAGGGCCACCTCAGATATTTCCACAAACCTCTCTGGAACCTGGAAAATAGGCATGATGTTTTTACACATAACTGAACGGTTACACGCACCACTCAAGCCTTTACACATGTGCACATGCACACACTGACCTGGTAATCATTGCTCTTATTGTAGTGCATGTTGAGAATGCGGTAAAGCTCAGTGTCTCTGCCCAGGTGGAGTGCTCTTTCCCTGGCAGATGCAAACCCCTCTCTGGCTGCCTGACGGGCAAAGCGCTCCATCTGGATATAGAAGAACTCCCGGAAGTTACTGAACCACTTAATCAGCTGGGAATTGACACAGCGATTGAACTGTGTAGAGAAAAACAGAAACACCAAGTTAAATCCGGCATAATATCAATCAAGATACCAATACAGCTTTATTATAATACACTACATGTAATTTCAATACAAATTCTATTGATATTCATTCATTATAAATGTAGTGACATTTTCTAACTGTTCTAATTGATTCAAACCGTTTCAAAAGGAAACCATGCCACACTGCTGTATACAGGTCAGTGTAAATTCATTCAATAAGTTATTAGCCCATATAATTTGTGCAGGTTATGCACACACGGCTATACTATTTTATGTTCAGGATATGAATGATGCCCACTTTGACATCAGGGAAATATGTCTTGAGTGTGCTGGAGCTGGGGTAGCGTGTGTAGAAGAACATGAGTTTGGCTTTCTTCAGGTGGCACGGAGAGAGCCCTTCCTGAGAGTGTAGATGGTTAAGGAATATTTGGTACAAATAAACAAACAAACAAATAAATACATGAAATATATACTACCGTTTAAAAGTTTGTGGTCAGTAAGTTTTTTATTATTAATAATAATTTTGAAGCAAGTCTCTCATGCTCACCAAGGCTATTAAATCAAAAATACTGGGAAAACTGTAATATTGTGAAATGTTATTGCAATTTAAAGTAACTGTTTTCTATTTTAATATATTTTAACATTTATTTTAAATAAAATGTTATTTATTGCTGTAATGACATGGCTGAATGTTCAGCAGAAATTACTCCAGTCTTCAGTGTCACATGATCACCATCATTCTAATATACTGATTTGCTGCTCAAGAAACATTTCTTAACATTATCAGTGTTGAAAACTGTTGTGCTGCTTAATATTTTTGTGGAAACTGTAATATGTTTTTCTTCAGGATTCCTTGATGAATAGAACGTTCAAAAGAACGGCATTTATTTGAAATATTGAATGACATTATAAATGTCTTCACTGTCAATTTAATACATCCTTGCTGAATAAAACTACTGATTTCTTTAAAAAAAAAAATCTTACTGACCCCAAACTTTTGCACAGTATTGTACATATATTTATATACGTGTATCTATTTTCATCATTTTTATAAAAGGATATTGACCCAGCAGCAAGATAGAGTGCTGCATCTCCTCCATCTACCACTCCTGCTCCGCCTCCTCTCATTCCCCCTTCCCTCGCTCTATCTGACGGAGAGGGTTCTAGCTGGCCCAGCAAAGAGATGGGTGGGAACGCAGAGTTGTGTGAACGGAAGTCCATGAAAGATTCAGACAGGCAGTCCTTATGAAGAGGCAAACTGGAGAGGGAGCGGGCAAAGAGATTCTGCATGGTGTAGTGAAGAAGGGGCAGGGGAACAGGGTTGTCTGGGGGATAGGAGGGCAGGAAGTGGTCTTTCCTCCTAGGGGGTAAAAGTGCCGGGAGAGGAGGCTGGGGTAGTGGAGTGAGGCTGGGATTTGCTTGAGGGAGGAGGAGGTCCTTGGGCACACTCTGAGCAATAGGGGCCCTTTTGTCTTGAGGACTCTTTGTGAGAAGTGGCAATGCTTCCACCTGCTCTGCCGGATGAGGTCTCGGCCTCTGGTCTGGGTTTAGATCCAACGTCATGCTGGTTTCTTGGGGAACACTGGCCATTGTGACAGCTGAGGGGTCGGTTTCGGCATAGAGACGGACAACTCTGTCGATAACTTGAGCCACAACATTTGCCAGCTCCTGTTTTAGAGCTTGAGCAAACTTCTGCCCTCCTTCTGCGCTCTCCCACTCACCTCTGACCAGGCTGCATCCCAGCCACACTTGATCACCATTTAACTCCAAATCCAGGTCCACAGAGGTCTCTGGAAATATCCCAGCATTCCCATTGGTTTCATTGGGTTTCTTAGACGAACAGCGCGGAGGAGAAAAACCACTGCCAGTGAGCGGATCATCGCTGTCGGAAAACATCTCCGCAACCTCATCGAGATTGATCAGCCCGTTCTCTTGTTCTTCCTCTCCTCCTTTCTCATCATCCGCCTGCCCTCCGTACACTTTCCACACCTTGCGCTGGAGTTCTAGAAGTTTCCCTCTGGTTTCCTCCAGCTGAAGCTTTAGTTCTTGCCGCTGTCGCTTCCTACCTTCCCTGCTTTCCCTCCTGTTCCCTTGTTCTGCTCCCCTCCTCTTGTCCATTCTAACCGAAGCAGTACTCTTCCTCCCCCTCTTGCCTTCTCTCCTCATTTCTTCTTCGCTTCTAGCTGCCGAGTCCATCCTGAGTCTCTTGACTCTAGCAAAATCCTGCCCCCAGTCTCCAGGCTCAGGAGCCGAACCTTGTCCCCGTTCTCCCGGACAGCGCTGCAATGATGGCATAGCCCCAACGGAAAACTCTCTTTTCCCAAACACGTCCTCCTCACTTACATCATCATCTACCAGAAGCCCAGGGAACAAGCCCTGACGCTGTCGGAAACTACCCCACCTTTGGGACATGCTGTTGGGGTGCATGAGAGGGGAGAAGAGCGGGTGGGAAGACAGGCTGCCGGGGGAAAATCTGTGGTTTGATGGGTTGGAATCTGGCAGGCTGCGATACAGTTCGAAGGGACACATCTGGGAGGGCTGCTGATGAAATCGATCCGAAGGGGAATCCATTACCCCCTTTTCTGTTCTAATCTGGTTTCCGGATCTTTAAAGAGAGCACAATTTGCTTTAAATTAATGCATAATGTCAGACAAAAAATGCAGCTATTTGGATCGGTTTAAAAATGGTTCATAATCCTCTCATTGTTATCGGCATCATCATCGCCTCTTTTTTTTCCTCTCTGCATGTGTGCGTTATCTATCCGCTGACAGCTCTACCCTGTGTTTGTTCATACTGTTGACTCTATTGCTCTCATCCTTCTTTTTCTCTCTCTCCCTCTCCCACA